AGATAGATAGATAGATAGATAGATAGATAGATAGATAGATAGATAGACAGAGAGAGAGAGAGAGAGAGAGACAGACAGACAGACAGACAGACAGACAGGCAGATAGACAGGTAGGTAGGTAGAGATAGATAGATAGATAGATAGATAGATAGATAGATAGACAGACAGATGATAGACAGATGACAGATAGATAGGCAGGTAGGTAGTAGGGAGGTAGAGATAGATAGATAGATAGATAGATAGATAGATAGATAGATGATTGACAGATAGGTAGGTAGGTAGGTAGATATAGATAGATGATAGATAGATAGATAGATAGATAGATAGATAGATAGATAGATAGATAGATAGATAGGATACAGACAGAAGACAGATAGATATGCCCCAAAGCACTTCTGCTCCCTCCTGTTTCTCTCTCTCCCTCCCTCCCTCTGTGTGTGTGTGTGTGTGTGTGTGTGTGTGTGTGCGTGTGTGTGTTGGGAGGGGGGAAATCTGGGCTCATCCGGGGGGCAATGCAGCCAGTTGTAACAGCTTCTTTGCCAATCTAGTTCAGGGTTGTGCGCCCAGAGTCCTTGTGTCAAACCAGAGCCCCTTCCTTTGGATCGGGGTGTGAACCTTGCAGGTAGTCCTCAATTTACAACAGCTCATTGAGTGACCATTCAAAGTTACAACATCACTGAATTAAAGTGACTTATGACCATTTTTCACACTTATTATTACCGTGGCAGCATCCCTACGGCCACCTAACCTAAAATTCAGACATTTGCCAACTGATTCATATTTATGACGATCGCAGTGATCCTGGGGTCCTCTTTGGAGACCTTCTGACAAGCAAAGTCAATGGAGGAAGCAAGATTCACTTAACAACTTCGTCACTAACTTAACAATTGCAACGACTCACTTAGCAACTGGGGCAAGAGGGGTTGCAAAACAGGGCACTTAAAAAAAAACTCACCTCACAAACGTCGCAGTTAGCAACATAAATTTTGGGCTCAAGGGTGGTCGAAAGTTGAGGACTACCTGTATTCCAGAGCAGGACAAGAGGGAGTAAGGAACCGAAAACCGCCGGACCCAGGACAAGCCGCCCGGCTTCCCACTCAGACAATCCTCCCTCCCGTGGACTTGCTCCCCAGCGCCGCAGGGTTAACTCTCTTTTCCCGCCGGCCGGCCCTCCGGTCCCCGCATCCTTCCTCTCCCTTCCGAACCCCGCCGGGGCGTCAACTAAGGGCGTCCGCCCGCCAAGGCTCTCTCCAAGGCCGCACCGACGCCGCCCGCCCGCCCGCCAGCTCACCCGCCGCGCCCGGGACTCAGCGCGCCTGGCCTGGCCTGGCCTGGCCTGACCTCACCTCACCGCCCGCTAGTTCCGAAGGTCGCCGGCCTGGCCGGCTCCAGCTGTCCGGGTGAAGAAGGAGGGCAGGAAGGCCGGGCGGAGCGCAACCCCGGCCGGCCCTCCGCCGGCTCCGCCTTGCCTGGCTGGAGAAGCACCCAGGCGGAGGGAGAGAGAGAGAGAGAGAGAGAGAGAAAGAGCGCGCAAAGGGCGGCAGCGCCGGCGGAGCTACGGTTGTTACAGTCTCCTCCGCGGAAGGGCGGTGAAGCCGCGGAGCTTCCCTCGAGAGACGCTCCAGAGGGAAGCGAGGCCGCCGCTGGACCGGCCCCGGGCTCGAAACCGCGCGGAGGCAGAAACGGGCTTGGATCTCCCGGGGGCGCCTCTTGGTGAATGGAGCCTATACTGCATTAGCGGCGATGCTCCTGGTTACTGGGCCCTTCTTCCGGCATAGACTTCCCAGGGATCTCCTGGTGGTCTCCTATCCATATACAGGGAGTTCCGACCCTGCTTTGGATGGCAGATTATTGGGGGTGGGGGGGACGGACGGGACGGGACGGGACCCGGATTGTAGGCTGTACTAAGAGGTCTGAAAAAGGATCCCAGAGAGGAAACCCAGAATGGTACCAATACAATCAGCTTGGACATGGAGTCACCAGTCATTTCACGGATGTTATTTCAAAACTTTGAGCAGGCTCAGATTTTGTTACTACTGGGAGATCACTGAGAAATCTCAGGCCTGTGTTTTTAAATAGTTTTCTTTTTAGTTCGTTTAGCTTTTTAAAAGTTTCAAAAGACTTCTTAAAGTTTAGTTTAGCTTTATTCTTCTTACATAGACCTAGATTATTATAGCAGTTTTATAGTGTGTATATATTTATATACTATAAATTGATGCTGTAATATATTTATACATACACACATACACTATAATACACACTATATACATACATACACACAGACACACACGTTATTGTTATTATGTATTGTTTTTTAACAAATTAATGTTGATAAAATTCAGTGAATTTTAAACAGAAACAATTGAAGGACAATAAAAGGAAGAATAAAAAGCCAAATAATATTTAGTAAGAAAATACCAGTTTGATATGAGAAGGATAAAAAAAACTGGACATTGTTAAACAGCAAATTATAGCAGTGTCCATAATAATAATAAATTATTAGATATAACTGCGGTGTTGTACAGTATAAGCAGAATAACCTATTTATGACAAAGACATGATTTTATCCAAGCCTGAACAAGAAAAGAACCATACTGAATAATAAAATAATGAGGAAAGTTTACAGCTAGAATGTAGTATTGTCAAAAAAAGAGATGAATGGAATGGGTGGCATATGGGAACCTGAGAAAAACGCCACAATTTTTACTTTTTATAAAAAGTATTTATTTTTAATCTTTCTTTAATTATTTTTATAAATAGCTCGATGAACATATCTAACACTCTTCCTTCTCCTGTGAGGTGGGTTGGGATGACCCAAAGTCACCCAGACACCCAAAGTTGGAACTAGAACTCACCATCTCCCAGTTTCTAGCTTTGTGCCTTCACCCCTAGGCCAAATGGTTAAGAATTGGACAGCTCCAGGAATAGATGAGCTGCGTAGTTTTTGACTCAAACATTTAAGTAAATGCTGTATTTGCAAAGAGGAGAAATAAGCGACTGGGGTACCGTTGGTAAGATTTATCTCCTGGTAAAATATTACTATTGTCCTGACCCAGGCTTCATAAACCGTAATTATTCATAAACTTGTTTTAAAAACAAAACCTATTTTATTGCAGCGCTAGGAATTGTTTTCATTCCCAGCCAGAATTAATCTCAAACAGTCCCCCAAAATAAGTACACACCTTTTAGTTCAGTGAAGTGCTGCCCAAAACAGAAGTATCAAACGAACTAGAAAAGAAACCAACCGAAGTACAAGAAAAACCAACCAAAGTTCAAAGAGCTTCCAGGATGACTCGGAACCAATCAAACTACTTTGCTTCCTGCAAAGGTTTCATCATCTTGGCCTGAGTTTTTTCCCTTATGGGAGGGGCAATCACCTCCCAGCCTTACTCCTGAGTCACCCCTTTTGTTTCAGCTACTCTCGTCTTCTAGCAGCTCTGTGCATATGCACACTGGGAACAGGCTCCCCTGGATCCTCTGCCTCAATGCTGCCAGACTCCGAAGGCAGCATCCCCACTCCCAGATGGTCCTGGACTCATCTCTGCATCGGATGCAGGACCCTCATCCGAGTCCTCTCCAGACTCCCTGACCGGTCGCCGTTCTTCTCCACTGTCTGATTCCGCTGCCGTCTGCACCGACTGCCAGCGAACCACAACAACTATATTGACAAATGGTGAAAGTTGCATGCTAGAAACCAGGAGACTGTGAGTTCTAGTCTGACCTTGGACACAAAGCCAGCCGGGTGACTGCTCTAAGTAAAATATGGCTTCCAAAGCTGACACGTGGGCCACTTTCTCTCAGCCTAGGAAGGAGACAATGGCAAATCACTTCTGAAAAACCTTACTGAGAAAACTGCAGGGACTTGTCCAGGGAATCTCTGATAATCAAAAACAATTAAATGGAAAGAAGAAAAAAGGATCACAGACAGGGTACTGTATGAAATCAGACAAGATAATCTAAACTTTTGGCTGGTATAACAGATGCCCTACAAGATAATCTAGAAAACAATAGCCTGCTACCAGCCGAATAGAAAGAAATAGACAAAACCCAGAACAAGTGTTGAAGATCAGGCTCTAACTGATAAAATGGTTTTGGAAAATTGTAAGAGAAGAGTATGTTGCTCTGTCTGATTCTAAGACGCTACGAGATTATTATCACACAACTGGATTACACAAGACTTGGTTGGGAAACATTGGAGGGAGTAATCACATCAAGAAATATGTTTCAGAGACAGTGAGCTTGTGGAAAACACAACTGATAATGGACAGTGAACAAATGGGCTGAGATAAATATCAGCACTACGCAATTCTATACAGGCCGACGTCATGTTCCATGAGGCAGCCTCAATGGCTTCTACTCAGCATCTGTGATGAAAGTCTGACAACTTAATCAGCCTCTGCGCTTCATAGAGATGTTCTTTGAAGAGGGATATCGAAAAAGGGACTGGGAAGTATATAGATATTGCCCACTAGGAACTGTCCAAATTAAGAGACGTTAATTTTAGCGATGTCTGGTAGAATCCATGAGAATGTCATTGCCCAAAATATTCATCAAAAATAGATAATTCATGTCATATTTGCAATGAAGTGCCTCCCCTATGGACACCCATAGTTAAATATAGTCTTGCTTCACTTTTGTAGAACTTTTGTAGGCAATTAGAATTAGGAACTTGGTTAGGCCCAGTTTTACACAGAATTCTTTCATATTTTATGTATAAGCCTACCAAGCTTTGCCACCCTAGTACATTTAAAACAAGGGCAATACTGATAATAGGTATCTTAAAATAATGTTATTTATTTATTTATTTTGTGAAGTATGTATTAGATAACAAATATAAGTATAAACATGATTATGAATACATGAAATTGATACAAATAAAAGGGAATATTAGATCAGGGACGGTTGGCACGTTGGGGGGCGCTTATTTTCTGGATCCAGGGTTATCATTGCAGAAAAAGGTTTCAAAATGCATCCAAAATATATGTTTGAAGTTAATGCACGTAGAATCTGAAGAATCATGTAGGCGAAATTGCAGATATTCTGTTTTATTTCATGCTGTTTGTTCCTTGACTGGGGGTTTGGGGCTGTAGAATCTCCTTTGATTTCCAAGCAAATTCTGCTCTTCCTCCATATCTACAATCATTTTCAATCCAGAAGAAAGAAACTGTCTACTTTTTATTGGAAAGTACAGCTGCCACAATTAGAGCAATTATAAGGACAGCTCCACCCACGGAAACCAAAATAGTAATTACGATCATGCCGCCTGCCCGCTCAAACATTACACTGGCTGATTCATAGTTGGTCACTGGAACACAAAGAAATACATAGTTAAGAGGCAAACATTACAAGAAATATCAAAAGAAACTCCGATTTGCATCCTTGTTATGTCTGTAAATTACATTCAGGTCTAAAAATCAACATCCTAGCCTGGAAATGTTCATAACTTCCTCTATGGAAGCCAAGAATTCAGTTGAGCTCTCCAGGCGAGATCGAGAAATGAGTTGACATCAGCAAACAAATTATTTTCATACATGAAAAGAGATCCAGATTTCAAGTTCCTACAGGTTCCACATTTCCTCCAACAAAGGTTGTTTTTCCTACTGGCAAGAGTTGGGCAGCAGAAGATCTCCCTTATAAAATTGATGTTTAGAATTAGTTAAGATACAATGTGGTGGGCATAGGTCTCCATTTTAAGCTATCCTTGGATCTCTTTTCCCTGCCCATGGACTGCAATCATCTTCTTCACCTCCTTCCATCTGCATTAAGTCAACCTTTAACAGCATTATAAGACCAGGCGGCACCGGTATTTCCAGTACACAGAATACAGGAGAGCAGAGTTGGAAGACACCTTGGAGGACTTCTAGGGGGGTTGGATTAGAAAAGGGTCCCCACCCTTGGGCCACCACTGGGCAATGGTCTATTCACAACTGGGTGGGCTGCTGGGGGCTTGCAGGGGCTTGGGAGAGTCCCTAGCTAAGACTCTGCGGCTCGGAGAGCCCACAATAACCTCAGAAAGACAAGCAGCAAGGGAAAGCTCTTAATAGGCTTAATCAAACTTCTGGGCGTTCAGCCAAGAACATTTCACACCTTGTAAAAGTGTTGCAAGCTAGATGAACAATCCACTCAGCACTTGTCAGGGAGAGCCATTGAGAAAATCAGATAACAGCCACTAGCCTCCGAGTGGATTAATTCCCAAATAATAAGAATCACGTAACTCACCAGAAACTCCACTAAGACTCCAAGATCCCTTTTACAGTCACTGCTATTAAGCCTGGTTTCACCCAGTCTTTTATTTAAGTATTAAATGCACGAAATAATAAACAACTGTTCAGTGTGTGTGTGTGTGCACGCGCACACACACACACACACTGAACAGTTGTTTATTATTTTGTGCATTACAATATATTTGTAATTAGGGCAAAGAAGCGATATTGAGTTGGCCACACCCACCCAATCACATGAACACCTAGCTACACCCACCCGATTGCATGACCACCCAGCCACGCCCACCCAGCCAGTCATTAGGGTGGAGAGCCCCTTGCTAAAAAATTTGGGCGCATGCACAGCTCAACTTGCATCAGTGACAGGCCGGTGCACACACGCAGCTCAGCTCGGCTTGCAGTCGAACTGTGTATGCATGCGCTTGTGTGCCAGCCCACTACTCACACGGCCTGGTTCCCCTCTCCCCACCCCAAGCCAGGCCACCAAGCTGCAAAGATTGGGAATTGCTAGATTAGAAGACTTCCAAGGTCCTTTCCAATTCTGTTACTATATATTCTGAATACTGGATTGATTGATTGATTTAATTGGGTGCCCATCTTACCTCAGAATAAATCTGAGCACCTTACACTCACACCGGCACTGCCTGGTCTTGCAAAGCTGTTAAACTTTGACTTGATATGGGTCCCCAGCGAAAAAACAGCTTATGAGTTTGATACACATTTCTACAACAATATATATAATATATGTGAGAACTCTCCACTGCTTCATCTGAATATTTATGCAGCTCCAATTTATGAATTCAACCATACAACTTTGTAAACCACGGCTTATGGCTTAGCATTGTGGATGGATCATTCTGTTCCCCAAACTATGGTTAAAGTCATGTACAGAAATAGCCAACCTTTGGGGGATGAATTGGCGTTTATGAGAGCAAGAGCTGAAGGTGCGCCCAGGAAGTAGCTCCCGGGGGGATAATTGCCACCAGTTTCACTGATTTTTCAGGATGCTTCTAAATTTTCCCATTTGGCCCACCAAACTTGCCACTTAGGGAGCATCCTTGCAAGAAAGCCCTCACCTGTGGGTGTACGTTATGGGGTTCATTTGCAAATAAAGATGCTGCTGCTGGGATTTGCCTGGTTCTGGATTAAAGCAATGGATTGATCCAGCCAGGGAGTTGTGGGTCAACAAAAAAAAAATTTTTAATGGGGAACTTTCTTTTCTTCCTCTACTAATAAAATAACTAATCAACTATTGATTTTAGCTACTTTCTTAAGATACACTGCTGTGAAACCACCCCCCCCCCCCCCCCCCCCACTCACGAACGTACGTATGGGCATAGGATAGATAGATGATAGATAGATAGATAGATAGATAGATAGATAGATAGATAGATAGATAGACAGATATATATATATATAGGTAGATGATAGAGAGACAGACAGACAGACATAAAGATAGATTACAGACAGACAGACAGACATAGAGATAAAGATATAGATAGATGATAGATAGATGAAAGACAGACAAAGAGAGAAATATAGAGACAGACAGACAGACACACACACACACACAGAGAGAGAGAGAGAGAGAGAGAGAGATGATAAAATGTTCACAAAGCAGCCAAGAAATAATTCCCTACTAACGTACCTGTGTTTTTAGTCAAGTATCTTGAAACTTACCATTCCTGGTCTGTATGGCTGTTGACCAATCTGTATGTGCTCTTATGACAGACTTGTCATCCAAAAAAAAGTAGTTCACCCTTTAAATGAATGAACAAGCAAAAGAGAAAGAGAAAATGATTAGGAATGTGGAAGTTGATGGAAGATAAGAGCTTCAAAAAGATGGAGGAATTATAAATGGTTGTTGGTATCTCCTGGACTTTTATAAAATGCTGTTTCTAAGGAAAAAGTGAACAAAATAAATGCTTCTTTTGAAAACACCCTTAAAAACAAAGGAAGAACTTCAAGAAACAATGGCTGGAAACCATCCAATGAGGACACCCCATAAAGCATAAAGAAACAGAAGATTCTATCGAGATGGATCAAAAAAGTCAAGATTATTAAAGCTCCACATCTTTTTTTGCATGCATGACACGTGCAATACACTAACACGGGGGGCCTTGTGTTAAAAAGGGGTAGCCCTGGCCTGTCTCCTTTTAATAGGCGTTAACGTGCGTGGCATAGGGATTGACAACTGCAGTGGCCATTTTGAATTATTGGGATGGAGCCACTTCAAAGACAACTGTACAAGCAATTACAGAAGTTCAACTTTAAATGGCTAGCATGAAAGCACCTTCATGAGGGGCACACAGTATCCAGTCCATCCCACTTGCCCATGGAAAATACAGGTAATCCTTGACTCATGACCACAGCGGAGCCCAGAATTTAAGTCATATGTCATTGCAGTCATAAGTGGAGGCACCACAGGACTTGATTTTGCAACCATTTTTATAACCATTGTAAAGAAAGTCACTGTGATCATGTCGTGTAGTCATTAAGCGAATCCAGCATATCCATTGGGTGTTTTGTACCATTTTCTGCCAGAAAAAAGGCAAAAAAAATGTAGCAAATCACGGCTGAAACTGGTCATAAATGGAAGCTGGTAGGCTAAACACCCAAAATGCAATCATGTGACTGCGTGCATACAGCAGTCATAACTATGAGGATGGGCTGTAAGTAGTTCTTTTTTAAGGTCCATCATAATTTGGAATGTTTGTTAAATGACCAGTCATATATTGAGTTCTTCCTTACAGAGGACAACTGAAGTCTTGGAAAAAAGGGAGATATTTATATCTCTCTAGGTGCACAATGAAAGTGAAACACCACTCATGCATCATCACAAAATCTCCAGAAATGTAAAGCCTACAAACTTGAAATTTGGCACATACTAGTTTCTAGGTGCTCACTAAGAAAGGATTTTTCAAAATGACCATCACAGCATTTATGTTTCTTATATTATTATTATTAACATGCTCTGATGGTAAGGAATTCTACTACCCCTCCCTACCTGAAAAGAAATCTGTTCCAAATGCAAAACACAAGCCGAGGAGAGGAGTTTCAGTTTCAGTTTTAGTTTAACAGCACCAAGCAGCTTTAATACAGAACAGTTGAACTAAGCCACACCCAAGCTCCTTGCTGTCTCCTTGTTCACACAGCAAATACTGTTTCAGTTTCCAAACAGCCCTCAACTCTCTCACACACTGACAGGATGCTAGCCAGATGAATACAGATGGATGCTGGTAGGCAGAGGCACAATTTTCTCCCCCTTATTTTCCTCCCCAAAATTAAGCCCAACCACATAGTTTTGTAGAGAAGCGTGGGTATCGAGCTAGTTACCTATAAAAAGTAGATGGCTTAAGAGGTTGGTTGCAGAAGGGACCTTTGGTTTTACGGCAGAACTCTGTCCCCACCTGGTAGCCTACCACACTGATCAACTCATACTGGCTATCGTCCAGGTCAAGAACCAGAAGTTCCCTGGTCACTCTGCAGGAGACGCTTTTGAATTCATCTGCAAAATACACCTGGGCCTGAGGAGTCCTACGGATGTTCTCAATCTGTTCGGTATCTGTTACACCTGAAAAAGAATAGAAAAGAGAAAGACAGAAATATGAAAATAGCTGGCCTGTTTGATCACCAGAAAAAGAATCACAAACTTTTCAAATGGGCAGAAACGGGGAAGAATTTAGCTTTTCTAGGCTCTGCTTGCCAGGTTGATAATTCTACATGAGCTATGACAAAAAAAAAAAATAGACCAAGGAGACATGGGCTACAAATATCCGGACTACTACTTGATCAATACCTAATAATATCACTCTATAAAGTCTTAGTAAGACCACATCAGCAATACTGCATGCAGTTTTGGTCACGATACTGTAAAAAAGATGTTGAGACTCTAGAAAGAATGCGGAAAAAAGCAACCAGGATGATAGGGAACAGTTGGAAGGGACCTTACAGGTCATCTAGTCCAACCCCCTGCCCAAGCAGGAGTCCCTACACCATTTCTGACAAATGGCAGTCCAATCTCTTCTTGAAAGTCTCAAGTGATGACGGTCCCACAACTTCCGAGGGCAAGCTGATGGTTGATTGTTCTCACAGTCAGAAAGTTTCTCCTTATTTCCAGGTTAAATCTCCCCTTGTTCAGTTTCCATTATTTCTTGTCTGGCCTACAGGCGCTTTAGAAAATAGATTGACCTCTTCTTCTCTGTGGCAACCCTTCAAATATTGGAAGATACTACTACAGTCTCCCTGGTCCTTCTCTTCCCTAGACTAGCCACGCCTAATTCCTGCAACCGTTTGTTGTGTTTTAGCCTCCAGTCCCCTAATCATCCTGGTTGCTCTTCTCTGCTCTTCTTTTTCTAGAGTCTCAACATCTTTTTTATAGTGTGTTGACCAAAACTGGATGCAGTACTCTAGGTGTAGGTTACTACAGGCTTTATAGAGTGGTATTAGTACCTCACTTGATCAAAGAATATCAGCCAAGGAGACACTAGGAAGCTTTACGATGATGACAGGGATGGGATTCAAATTTTTTAACAACTGTTCTGTGGGCGTGGCTTAGTTGGTGGGCGTGGTTTGGTGGGCATGTGACTGGGTGGACACAGCTTGGTGGTCCTTCAGTCCCAAGCAGTGGGTGAGATCTTAACCAACAAATTCAATATGAATCTACAAAGATCACTTGCCATTCTTTTTCTTCAAAGCTTTCTATATTGCTTGGCATTAATCAAAACATCTCCAAACAACTTAAAACAACATCGCTCCATCGGCTGGGTTTCAAATGTAGAATGTAGAGTCCAGAAAAAAATTTTTTTTTATTCCACTGAGATCTAGTTCCCCATACAGATTGTGTATGGATGATCCACAAATCTCATTAAGCTAAGGCTTCCCTTGATCCCTGCCTGAGATCAACCTTGGCTGATCTCAAAAGGCTGAACAGGGTTGGACTATCCTTATTAGCCCAGGATGAGCAGCCCAGGACAATTAGTCTCATTGACATATTTTTAAAAAGTCAGTTAAGAAGAGGAAAAATGAAACCCCTTCCACACAATTGCTAAAAAACCATATCATTATGCCAAAAAGTGTTGGCTCAACTCAAAAGGTGCCTAGATCTTGATTTACTTAATGTGCAGCATAACTAGCATAATAATCCAGGGCAAGGGTCTTCAAACTTGGCAGGTTTAACACTTGTGGACTTCAATTCCCAGAATTCCTGAACTAACATGACTGGAGGATTGTGGGACAGGATTGTGCAGTCATTGTGGGACTTGAAGTTTACATATCTTAAAGCTGACAAGATTGAAAAACATTGATCTAGATCAGGGGTGTCCAACCTTGGCAACTTTAAGACTTGTGGACTTCAACTCCCAGAATTCCTCAGCCAGCAAAGCTGGCTGAGGAATTCTGGAAGTTGAAGTCTACAAGTCTTAAAGTTGCCAAGGTTGGACACCCCTGATCTAGATCATCATCCAGGGGTAGGATTCTACCAGTTCGCACCTATTCGCTAGAACCGGTTGTTAACATTCTAAGCAGTTTGGAGAACCGGTTGTTAGAAGAAATTACTGGCCTAATCCTGTAAGGAAGGCAGGAAGGAAACATTCTGGTGTTGCTTATAGAAACTGCCTCTCCGGTAACCCTTATTACATTCTTGGCAGGATTAGACTTCCTGTCTCTGGAACTTCTCTGGAGTTTTTTTTTCCTCTTTTGCTGGTACTTTGCTTGTGTGGAGTGACCATTAAAAGTTACAGTGGCACTGAAAAAAGTGACTTATGATTGTTTTTCACACTTATGACTGTTGCAGCATCCCCCCAGTCATAAGAGGCCAGGGGAGGGGATGCATGCCTCGATGTGAGTGATGTTGAGTTGACTGCACAATCCTGTCCCACAATCCTCCAGTCATGTTAGTTCAGGAATTCTGAGATTCAACCTGGAAATAAGGAGAAACTTTCTGACAGTGAGAACAATCAACCAATGGAACAGAAGTTGCCTTCGGAAGTTGTGGGAGCACCATCACTTGAGACTTTCAAGAAGAGATTGGACTGCCATTTGTCAGAAATGCTGTAGGGTCTCCTGCCTGGGCAAGGGGGGTGGACTAGATGACCTACAAGGTCCCTTCCAACTCTGTTAATCTGTTAAACATGTCAAATGTCATATTCTTGCTTTCTTGAATGCCCTTGTCCAAAGTGGGAGTGGATACTAACCCTCCACTTCATACAGAACAGCTGAATTGCTGCAACAAGGGCCCGTTAACCATTTCAGAACAAATGTGGCAGACACTACAGCAGTTTCTGCAATTCTTTGAAATTGTTGATTAGCAAGTTTTTCCTCACGCAAGACCAAAAAGGAAATATTTCCAGCTTGAGTCACAGACCCTACTCAGAACTGTTATTTTCTCTCTTGTTTTTCAGAATGAGGTGAAAATCTCGTTGAATTCAAGCTTAGTCTTGGCTATTCTTTACACCCATCCATGCCATTGATTGCATCAAGAAAGCACAACTTTCTTTTGCAGACAGTTTTCCAAGCCTGGATATCAGCTTTGAGATTTTCCCCATCTAAAGCTCACATAAACCCAACAAGAGGTATCCAATCCATGGGAAGGAAGTCAAACAAGTCAAAAGGACAGCAGAGAGAAACACTGGCTGGCTTTCAAGATTCTGTTATTATACCCTACACTACAGCAATAAACTGGGACTCCTGGAAACCTTCTAAATCCTGAACTGGTCTAGCTCAAAGGGCTGGTACATTCACTGGCTACCCATGTAGATTGCTCTAGATTGCTCTCAGTGGTGGGATTCAAATTCTTTTACTACTGGTTCTGTGGGTGTAGCTTGGTGGGCGTGGCAGGGGAAGGATACTGTAAAATCTCCATTCCCTCCCCACTCCAGGGGAAGGATACTGTAAGATCCCCATTCTCTCCCCACCCCACTAACCTGCTTTCCAGCTCTATTCTCCCGTGCAGGGCAACAAAAGAAGACCCAGATGATCAGCTGGGACTTGGGAGGCAGAGAATAGATGGGGGCGGGGCCAGTTAGAGGTGGTACTTCGAACTACTCAAAATGTCCGCCACCAGTTCTCCAGAACTGGTCAGAACCTGCTGAATACCACCTCTGATTGCTCTCCATGCCTATGCTTGATTATTTTCAAGAGAGCTACAAAATGTAATTCTGAAATAATCTCCTCTTGGACTTCTCTTTAGCACTTAGCAATAGCACTTATACTTATATAGCACTTCACAGTGCTTTACAGCCCTCTCTAAGTGGTTTACGAGGTCAGCATTTTGCCCCCAACAATCTGGGTCCCCATTTTATCCACCTCGGAAGGATGGAAGGCTGAGTAAATCTTGAGCCTGATCAGATTAAAACTGCCAAATTGCAGTCAGCTGGCAGTCAGCAGAAGCAGCCTGCAATACTGCACTCTAACCACTACACTTTAATGAGAGCTTCCCTTCCCAGTTCCCACAATGAATTCTCTCATTTTCCAGTTCTGGATATTCTACACCCATTGCCTACAATGAATTTTCTCATTCTACACCTACTAGAACTCTCATTGCTCCTTCTTCCTCCTTGATGTAGTTACTACTGCTATTCCCATAGCATCTTTATCCAAAGAGTAGAGCAGTGTTTCTCAACTTTGACAACTTTAAGATGTGTGAACTTAGTTGGGGTAGAGGAACAATATGTTTCCATTACAAGGACCTTGCCTTAAAAACAAAGGCATTTATTATTAAAAATGAACTAAGCGTCTCCAGTAACTAGAAAGCATGAATATTGAAGTTGAGAGGCTTGTAAACAAAAGACAGATGGCTTCTCTAAAAGCTATTGTGTTTTTAAGTTGTTTGCACAACTGATTTGGAAATCAGAATTTGAAAGCACGGAAAATCCTCCTTTGAGAAATATCTGTGAAACTTTAGTAGATGAGAAGAGTTTGATTGTAGGAATGCAATTTCTCAGCCTGAATGTTATTCTTATCTGTTCCCAATGTTGTATTTAAGTTGTTAAACATAATAAAGACTTCGCTTATTTCAAGGTAATTACCTGGTAAAGTGGATGCATCTGGAAGTTGAGCCACTGCTACTCTGACTTTGGTTGACTTAAACTTGGAGGAAGACACACATTTTGGAACGTTAATAATAAAATTGCTGCCCATGAAGGTGGTGAGAAGCATGCTGTTGTTAGTGGAGAAATCCAGGGCTAAAAAATATGAAATCAGTAGGAATATTAGTGTATTTCTTCAGTCTGTAAGCCACAGGATGGATCATTTTTCATGAAATATGACAGCCTGGTGCAGTTTATTCAGAAATGAAGTTTTCAAAAAGTATTAACATAAAAAGGCTGCAATGTTATGAAAACTGCTTCTTCTCTTCCACAAAGCATCATTTAACTCTACCCAGAAGATTGAATTATTTTTTTTTAAAAAAAATCAAAATACTAAGGGAAGAAAACTTCAGCACTTCAATGTTTCTTCAAAAGAAATCAACCAACCAACCAACCAACCAACCAACCAACCAACAAGGAAAAGCTGATGAAACATCTAAATTTCTCCTTATCACCTCCTAAACTGTAGGAGACATTGCAGAGAAGGATTAGCAATCCCACTTTGTAGCAGTGAAAGAGAAAATCCTAAAATAAAATGTATGAAAATAATGTTCTAGAATTGAGTCTGTCTGAACAGAAAAATATTTTTCCCTTTTAATTTGTCCCTAGATTGTTCGAGTAAGCAATGAATTGGCATGATGTAATAAAGTTATTTGGCTCTCTTCACACTCTTGGAATATCATGAATAATATCTGCATTTTGGCAAATTGGCCTTGGCCAACTTGATGTAATTATGGGACCTTCTCCTTGGGGTGCCTTTAGATAACCTTGACCTGCAATCTCTACAGTCTTTCTGGCTACACCTCATGGAATTTCTGAACTGAAACATCTGAAGAGCTCCAGTTGGGCAAGTCTATATTAGTTCATGCAATCCCGATCTCGGTTTGACTGAAGAAGGTCATACTTACGGATTTTCTCCAGATTTTCTAATGGAATGGTCCATCCTGATCTCAAGATGCCAGAGAAAAACAGAAGCAAACCCAGATTCACACCATAAAGTCGCATGGCTGGAATCTAAAGATTTGATTTTCTCCTGGTGTCCTAGAAGCTGCCCTGAATTCCACCTGATTTGACAACTGAAAGGCAGTGAACAGAAGGATAGATTTTCTCCTTAAAAAAAGGGGGGAGGTCCTTGATGCCTGGCAAACATAAAACTAGGCTGAGAAACAGGGTAAACCAGAGAATCAGGCCATGGACCCAGTAAGGTGGGATATCTGTTGTGCAAGGGGTTCTTTCAAATATTCAAAGCATGAAGCTGATCTATAAGGAAGTTTTTGCTTTATGAAATCTGGGCAGAAACCAGACAGTGTTATTTTCACGTTCCTTACCTTGTTAATTGAGAAGATCATTGCAGACACATTATTATTTATATATCATTTGCAGTGTAATCCTGTGTATTATGCTCAAAAGTAGTCATGTATTACTGAGTCCACTGGAGTTATTTCTACTGAGAAAGTGACTGTAATACAGGGGTCTCCAATCTTGGCAACTGTAAGACTTGTGGACTTCAACTCCCAGAATTCCGCGGCCAGCTTGCTGAGTTGAAGGCCACAAGTCTTACAGTTGCCAAGTTGCAGATCCCTGGTATAGTCCAACAATCTTAAAAAGAAGAAATTTAGGCTTATGTACTTTGAAGAAAATCCCAGTACATCCATATAGCTTACTTTAGCGCTTTATTTTCTTCCTCCAAGAACGGATTGTCCAAATTTCAGGTAATTTATCAGCCTTGCTGGAAGTACAGAAGCTTCCCTTGAGTCAAGCTGGATCTCTCCGATGATTTCAGGGTTATGTGTTGGAAACCACATGAAAATGTTGCAGTCTTCTTCCCCAACTTTGCAATCAAGTTCAGTTGAAAGCTAAAAAAAGGTTCAGTGCATTTCAGGCCTACTTATTTAAGGAAACGTTAATTGTAGATCCCATGAGTAGCAATCTCAAAAAAAATCCAAATCTGAGACAAGTCCTTTCTTTTTTAGTAGACATTTCTTTCCATAATACAGAACCCATTTGACACTGCCTTCTTCATTTCTCTTCAGATTTCCTGGTCAAGATGTTCACTCTGAGATTTCTTGTAGGTTTCTCATCCAAGATCTAGCCCTACTTAATTCACTCCACTCCCCATCCCAGGTCAGCCAAAGATTTTGTGATGGCTTTACTCAAGCTGGAGAGTTCCTTGAAAGAACCAAACCAGATGGAACCACATTTTATTTATTGATTGATTTGATTTGTCAAATGTTTACAAGATAATAGGTATAAGTATAAACATGAGTAAGAATACAGGAATTTGGTAGGAATAAATGGGGACAATAGGACAGGGACGGTAGGCACGATGGTGCACTTATGCACGCCCCTTACAGACCTCTTAGGAATGGGGTGAGGTCAATAGTGGATAGTTTGAGGTTAAAGGAGTGGGGGTTAGAGGATGTAACAAGAGTCAGGTAGTGCATTCCAGGCATTGACCACTCTGTTGCTGAAGTCGTACTTTCTGCAATCAAGTTTGGAGTTGTTGACATTGAGTTTGTATCTGTTGTATGCTCTGGTATTGTAGCGGTTGAAGCTGAAGTAGTCATTGACTGGTAGGACATTGTAGCAGATAATTTTGTGTACTATGCTTAAGTCTAACCGTAGGCAGCGTAGTTCAAAGCTGTCCAAGCCCAAAATTTCAAGCCTGATGATATAGGGTATTCTGCTGTAAGCAGAGTGTAGTACTCTTCTTGTGAAATACTTCTGGACTCGCTCAATTGTATTATTGTCTGATATATGTAGGAGTCCAAATTGATGGACCTAACCCAATGGACAAGCACCTTGAAAGCAGCCCAGACACAGAAGAAATACAAGGCCATCATTTATACAGAGGGATTCTTATCATCTATTTCCTGCTATGCACCTTGTCCTTTCCTAGGGATGTTCAGCCTTTCTTTCATAATGTCCAGGTCAGGGTCGCCAACCTTTTGGATCTCAGGGACCACCAAACTCATAATTTTAGATGCCAGGGACCACTAACTGGTTCTATGGGTGTGGCCCAATTTGTGGGTGTGGCTTGGTGGTCATGTGACTGCTCAGCATGGCTTGTATGTAAATATTATAAATATTTACATAAATATTGAATTTTTTTATAAAAAAAGAGCAACTTTTACCCAAAGTCAGGCAAAGCAGGCAGGCAGATTAAGTTGCTCACAGAATCACAGATTCATTCAGAGATCTATCTCTCTGCCATTGGCTAGCTCAGTCTGTCACATAAAATTTGCTTGCAAGCAAACTCATAAAATTTCCTACCAAGCAAACTCACAAAATTAACTCACGACACACCACATATGTAAATATTGATTTTTTTTTTATAAAAAAGAGCAACTTTTACCCAAAATCAGGCAAAGCAGGCAGGCAGATTGAAAACAGATAATCAGAGTTGGAAGGGACCTTGTAGGTCATCTAGTCCACCCCCCCACCCAAGCGGGAGACCCTACACCATTTCTGACAAATGGCAGTCCAATCTCTTCTTGAAAGTCTCAAGTGACGGCGCTTCTACAACTTCCGAGGGCAAGCTGTTCCATAATAGAGTTGAGATTGAGTTGCTCACAGAATCAAAGATTCACTTAGAGATCTGTGTTTCTGCCATCGGCTAGCTGAGTCTGCACTGCTTCAGTTCTAAGGAAGGCTTGGCAGAGCCGAAGATCTAAAGACTAGCTAGAAAGCAAGAAATCCAACCATTTCCTGCTTCCTAGCTAATCTAAATCTCCTGGCAAATCAGAACAGATGATGGTCGGAAAAAGGAAAAATAGTAATTTAGCAGGCAAGTTTGTCAGGTAAGGAGTGAGTTGGTGGGGAGGGTTCCCGTGGGCCATGTGGCGGTGCAGCCTTGTGTTTCTGCACAGCCTGGATTAATTGCTTTGTGCGGGTGCTCTGGGGGTGAGATTTCTCTGCGGCCCACCAAAATTTTCTCACAGCCCACCAGTGGGCCATGGCCCACAGGTTGGCTACCGCTGGTCCAGATGACCTAAACTCAAGCTTTTTAATCTTTTCAGTCAAGTTCATTTGTATATGGAGAAAATTGGACTCCTATCTTGCACCAAATTCTTTTTCCCTTGCTTATTTCTTTTTCCTCTGTGTGTTATACTGACTCTTTCATGTCGCAAAATTCCTCAAGTAAAGGTAAGAAAAAAAATGCAATAGCTCTTATCATTGGGTCTAGCCAAACAATCGCACCAAAGTATTTATAATGGAAAGAATGGCTTTGTCTCATCTGAATGTACTCCAAGGACATAAAAACCAGGCAAAGCCTTGACCACATATCCCAGCTACCATCTTTATTATAATTTTTTACTGTATCTGCAGAACCCCTTGTTTATTCTCAAACAAGAATTTCCTGCTCGTGCCTTCGTTTTCTAGTTCACACTCAGCAAGATGAGATTTCTGAAGGATCAAAGCCAGTGGTGGGGCTCAAATATTTTTACTACCGGTTCTGTGGGCGTGGCTTGGTGGGCGTGGCAGGGGAAGGATACTGTAATCTCCATTCCCTCCCCACTCCTGGGGGTAGGTTACTGCAAAATCCCCATTCCCTCCCCACCCCACTAACCTGCTTTCCAGCTCCGTTCTCCTGTGCAGGGCAATCAAAGAAGACCCAGCCAACCAGCTGGGACTCGGGAGGCAAAGAATAGATGGGGGCAGGGCCAGTCAGAGGTTGCATTTGCCAGTTCTCCAAACTACTCAAAATTTCCGCTATCGGTTCCCCAGAACTGGTCAGAACCTGTTGAATATGACCTCTGGATCAAACCACAATACCTGGTATTTGTGACCTTCTCAGGGATAGGATTACAGTCTATGTTGCTAAGCTGGGCTTTTCGGTATGTCATTCAGAGACAGCAAACAGTGCAATTCCCCTTCCTAATGCCAAGTATTAGACACAGGATACTGGAGGAAGTAATGAGTCATTGAAATGAAGTGGTCAAGTGAGCAGCTTCAGGAATGTGAAGCGTGAAACCTCCTTGCTTGGCCTTTTGGTTGTCAATATCTCACTGGTTAAACCAGTAAAACAGTGTCTTATTCAGAAATCTACACTGAAACCTGAAAAAAGAAAATCTAGTCCAGATTCCGTCCGGCTCTACCTGGCCTAACTTTCATCCTTTTGTCCAAGTACAGGCAGTCTTTGACTTACAACAGTGACCGTGCAAAGTTACAACGGCACTGAAAAAAGTGACTTAGGACCATTTTTCAGAGTTACCACCTTTGCAGCCTCCCCACAGTCATGTGATCAGAATTCAGATGCTTGGCAACTGACTAGTATTTATAATGGTTGCAGTGTCCTGCGGTCATGTGATCACCTTTTACGACCTTCTGATCAGCAAAGTCAATAGGGAAGCGACATTCATCAACTGTGTTACTAATTTAATAACCACCACCAATCAGTCAAAATGCGACAAAACTCAACAAATTTCTCACTTAGCAACATTAAACGTTGGGCTCAATTGTAGTCGTAAGTCAAGGACTGCCTGTTATTCAAGGCCTTGACTTGTGCATCGGTTTCACACATAATCTGGACTGAACGCTCTTTGAATGCACATCCCACTCTCTGCTGTTCTTCTTGCATGAACTGCGCCTCCACAGAAGACATTGGGAATAGCCATATGTCCGTTTTAACTTCTCAACTGGGCAGCCACAAATAAAGCACTCATAAAAATTGATTTAAAAACCACACATGTTCTCAATGGCCACCTTTCCCTTCCAATGGTCATTTCTAAAGGTGGTCTTTTGGAACAAAAAAAAATAGTATACAAAAAAAATGGAACAAAGGACCTACGATCTCTCTCTGAAACCATATTAGGCCTGGTTTTTAACATTATTGTACTTGCATTGTGTAATTTTTTTTTTTTAAGAGGTATCTCTTCACTTTTTATCTTTTCATTTAAATTTGATTAAATTAAATTTAAACATTGTATCTTTGCATCTTATTTTGTTTTATTTAGTTTCCTAATATTATTTGATTGCTTATTTAGTATCCTATGACTATCATTAAGTGTTGTATCTTATGATTCTTGATGAATCTATCTTTTATGTATGTTTTATGCACCGAATACAAATTCATTGTGTGTCCAATCACACTTGGCCAATAAAGAATTCTATTCTATTCTATTCTATTCTATTCTATTCTATTCTATTCTATTCTATTGGACAAAATCTGGTTATGAACTTTGAATGTTATTTAAAATGTTTTAAATAAAAATCACCAAAGAAAAAGGGAAAAAAATATAAGGCACAAAGAAAAAAATACTGCCCGATTGATAATCCGAGTGGGATGTCATCTTAAATGCCTTCTCACCCAGAACTTGGCCAGAAAGTATTTCAACACCCAAGTAAACTCACCCAGCCCATTACTCCACCACTGACCTGCTATTCATTTGGTTGATAAGGTGTGCTAACAGGTTCCGCTACATGCCTTCACAGCCCATAATATTTAACTGCATCACATTTAAACAGAGCCTATTGTTGCTATGAGTCTTGATCATGCTCTTACCTCACTCAAGAAGACCATATCTGACAAATCACCTGAGGACATTGTGGAATTCAACTTGCATTTATACCACTCCCTCCTGAAAATATCTAAAAAAATGTAAGATATGGTAACATCTGTGAAATATTCAGCACCTTATATATTTTTCAGTGTTATCCTCTAATGTGCAGAATTCTTCTATGCAGGACTAAATCTAATGTAGAATAGAAATTGAATACAGTCTAAAGAC